AGATCCGTGAGGGCTCTCAGTCTCCATGCATCTACGTAGTTGTTCTCTTTCTAGTCGTTCAATTTCATTTTTTATATGCTGGAAAATCTCCGTGCAGAAGACTTCGTTTCCTGGATTCTTATCTGGATGCCACTGCAAAATAAGTCTCTTGATAATTTGTCTTCTGATGTCTTCTGATAGCTTCCATGCGTCTTCAAGAATTCTTGAGATGTCGTCAAATATCTCCCGGTGATAAAAGGGGGAGCTTCCTTGCTGTTCAGACAGGACAGTGGCAGAGGATGCTATCTCTTGAAGACGGTGAAATTTATAAAGCTCAGTGGCGCGGGCAACTTTCAGTTCCTTTTCATGTCCAATATCTATCTGGTAGGACTTCTCACAAAAGCTGACGTTTTCACCAGATACGTCTTTAAGTATCACAGCATAAATGAAAACTGCATCCCCTTCTTCAAGATGAAGACTTGGATCATCTAGTTCGTATCCAACGTATTCTCCAGGCTCGAACAATTTGAAAGCTGGATTTAAAAGGTTGTGTTCTGCTATTGGTATGAAGCTTCCTGGTTGTGGAAAAACATCTCCCCTTTCTTTGGCGTTCGAATCGTCTTGTCGAATCCCCATGCTATCTAGTAAAGACCGAATCTTACCAGGTGGAGATCTCAGCATCACTGGAATATACATAGTGGCTTCTCGCAGAAGCCCGTTACACACTTCTGCAATCACCTCCGACAACGTTAGAGATGTCTTTGACATGGTTTCGTCGACGTCATCGACTGCGTTAACATATACTTTCCAAAACTGGTGACCGGAGTCTAACACCTTTTCTAAGAAGTATGGAACTTCGCGTTCACTCTCTTTGATAGGCACCCCGTTATGAACCAGATGAGTAACGATTCTTTTCATTCCAAGGAATTCAATTCTTTCCAAACCGCTTTTAACAGTTATGAGCATATTTTGATCTAGACTACGACCTCGGCTGACGTGGCGAAGAAGTCTCACAATTCCTCGATAGAACTGTTCTGAGTGGAGCTGTTTCCTTAATGAACTAGCAGCACCTATGTCAAAACCTTTGGCGTTATCACTGGAATTCAAGAACTTTTCTTCAATTACGCATGACATCAATTGTGGTCGGACATTACTTGGAAGAAGCATGATCAAATCTTCGTAGTTTGCATTATTTTTGCAGCTTACATCAGCTCTGTCGAAGTCGATCACAAAAGGTGCGTCGAAGTTTTTGATACGATCACGATAGAGGGGAGTATTCTCGAAAATAAGCTCGGTAGCCTTCATCAGTGTGACCTTTAGTCTCACGCTGTTGTCATCCAAACAAGCGCTGTAAGAACAGGTAGCAGGGAGGTACAACAATGAAATAACCTGAGCTGCATCAGGTGAGTCTTGCATTGTTTCCATGAGGCCTTTGACCGCTCTCAAAGCGCAGTTAACCTCGTTTACATGTAGGCTTTCGTCTTGACATTGTTCGTGCAACATGTCTAAAACCATGACATAGTTGGAAGGTGTGACAGATGGAGAACATCCCAGGTATTCGAAGAGTTTCGAAAACCTACTTAATTCGTTTGGCATTCTGTACAGAAATGGCTTGATTTCAAGGCTCTCATACAACTCGATAACCACTTGTTTAGCAAAAACAAAACGTTGACCTTCTTGTACCAAAATACAGGGTGTATGATCAAGTCGTTCCTTCGCAAAAGTACTTGATGGGGAGTTTTTCTGCAAAAAACTGTAGATCCTCAACATCACTGACGTTCTGGTCACCCTCTGATCATAGGTAGCGTCCACTTCGTTCTCTTTTGCCAATCGAGAGCATACATTTTGGCAGTGAAAGACAACTTGATTCATGGTCGGCTCAGTTAGAATATGAAGGTGGGAGATGACAGCATTACAGAGGGCATGCTCATTTTCCAACCCTTGAATTCCATCAAGTATACATATTCTCTTGGATTTGCCCATTGTGGAAGGATTGATGCCGTTATCCACGCTGCCTTACCGTGCTCTGGTAACAAAGAACCCTTAAATGCGATGTAGGGAATCTGGCCATCCCTTCCTTCACCGAACTGAGGATGAATTGCTCGTAATTCGGCACCCACTGGATCTGTGGCTATAAACCGGATGTCACAAATAGAATGTAAAAGCCCTTCTTCCACAAGATTCTTTCGACTGAACAAGTGTTTCACTAGTACCTTGGACTTTTTGTAAGTTACATCATTTTTCTGCGTCTCACCTTCGCGTTCAATTTCAATGGCAAACTCCAGAAATAGATCAGCAGAAACCTCACAGGTCAACCCAATTTTCATCAAAAACTGCAGCCATTCGGGCGTGTTCAATGGCTCTGGGGGAAACATGTCTTTAGGAAGTAGTACACTGAAAACTTCATGTCCAGGTTTATAGTAAAAGGACGCCCGCTTCAAACTTCCATCAGTAAAGGGAACAAAAGCTGTTTCACTCAAACAGCCGAGCAACTTCTGCTCGTCGCTCTTGCCTTCTTGTGATAGTCTTGGCAAAATGACCTCACGAATGTGCTTAAGATGAGTAAATCTTGCCGTGCTGCTAAAAATTTCCATGTTCTGCAATATGACTTTACAGTAGAAGTCAACTGCAGAGACACATTTGAACTCAAGAAATTTGTACAATGGAAGCAGGCGTTTCCACTCTTCTAAAAAAACCACGCTTAATCTACTCCCCAGCTGCTCCATTTCTTCGCGTGGGATACCAAATGGTAGGACGCAAATCGTTTCACACCAAGTACTTGTGAATCCCCCGTGAGTTGTTTGATAGAATGGCAGTTTCATCAGTGTACGCTTGTCGCGTTCCTGCAGCCTTTCCACATTACGACTGAAATAATCCAAAATGTTACGACATTCTATTCCCGTCAATTTGCCCTCAATAGCTTTGGGGTTCGTTGACATCTTAAGCTCCAGTGACTTTAGAACGGATTCTGGTGTCTTAAGTGATGCTACCAACTTTCGTGCAAGGTACATTGACTCGGTAGGCAAGAAACTGTAGTTCACCTCGGCTAGGCTCAGCTTCCTCAAAGACTCAACAAGTTTGCAAATATCGGCATCGATATCGGAGCCTGAAAAATCAAGTACAGCCTTTGCAAGATTAAGGGGAACAAGGAAGTGTTCTGTTTTACCCGATGGTGCCATCTTGATTGTTTCAGTACATGGAAGAATACTCCAATTTGAGAGTGGTTCAAGAATTGTCTTAATTCTTTCAATCTCTTCCCCTTGTGATAGAGTTTTCCTTTCTTCCTTAAAAAGACTTTCTGTTTCTTCACCCAGAAACTTCCAAACTGCTTCCACCCATTGCTTATTAGGCACTGATATTTGCGTCGGGCACCATGCAACGAAGCGATCGCTGGTAGAATACTCACGTGGTAGGGTCCGATCCAAAAATGTGGCAAAATCTTCTACTCCAAAACGTTTAAACACAGGTGACTCCTGACTCTTCGCAGCGTTGAAGATGCGAAGTCTTACATCATGGTGGACAAACATATCACTGCACTGTGGTAAGATACCATGATGACGCGATAGATACTTAGGATTATCCGGACTGAAAGTGTGTAGGTGCTTCTTTTGTGTTACGAGTAAAGGCAGTCCTGACAGGTTTTCCAAGAAGTTTTCGTCATCCTTGCAGTAGCTCAAAACAAGCAAGACGTCTTCGATCCCCTTAAATGGCGTATCTTTGATATGAAAAGACATGAGTCCAACACAGCAGAGTGGATTGTCATCATTAAAAGTCTTGTAGAATGCCATTACTGCAGAGGGTGAGATGCAATGCGATTCTACGCCATATTTCTTCAGTGCATCATACACAAAAAGCGATAATTTCACAAGGTTAAAGCCTGTTTGTAGTAGAATGTCTTCAAACCTCCTTATCTTTTCCGTTCTTAGTTTTTCCTCTTTTTCCAGGTCGCTTCCAAAAGGGGGACGTATCGGTTTTCTAACGAAACAATCACTTGCTCCCAGATTATTGAAAAATGCCTTTTCTTCTCCCTCACCTGTTGGAGGAAGCCACGTGAGTTCAGTCTCCTCGTCATTCTTCTCTAATCTGCCAACTCTCACCACTGGGAGGAGTTTTAATCCCTTTTCGTCCATCCCTCGATAAACGGAACGTATTAAGGTCGCCCAGTAGGTTTCTTCTGAAATATCCGATGGGAAAAGCTTTTCGTACTCACAAATCTTTGTAAACAAAGCATCGTTATTACAATGAAGTTTACTTTGTGCCGAAGTGGGAGAGATTTGAAAGTAAAAAAAACTCCTGACTTCATCCAGAAGTGTCAGGTAACATGATGCAATCACATCTCCAAGCAGAGCATTGTTCCAGTCGGTGCGATAACCACCAGCTTCGTCTCTCCACAAATTTCTTCTTGACTCATGGTTCAAGGCAAAGTGTCCATTAATGTGTAATGGGAGATTAGTCTCAAGAGGAAGTGGAAGGAAACAATAAGCTTTTTTCGCTTTACTTGCAGGCTCATCAAGCGTGGAACTTTTTTCTAGAAGGCAGGCAACTCCACCACGGGGCAGCATTCCCAGATCTCCCCTTCTGTAAGCATCTTTTATGCTTAGTTGCACCTGTTTCTCAAAGCCAACTTGCTGAACAACTAACCACTTTTCTTGATTGCCACAGTTGTCTTGTAGATTCAGAACATACGAACATTTTTTAACCTCGATGTCATATGGGTAATGTTCGCTCGGTTGTTCAGCTGATTTTCTAATATTCTTCATATAGGTGGCAAACTCTTGCCTTTTCGTTTTGTCCTCCTCCGACATTACTGCTGCGACGGAATAGATGTTTATTCTTTCTCCAGTTGCAGGATCTATGTCACACAAGGTGATCTTCCTAACGTTGTTCACAAAGATCAGAACCTCGAAAAGCTCTTCTTTTAGTGCTTTCATCATGTCTTCTAGCTCTTCGGGTGTTACTGGGGTTTTGGATATTTTGGAGCTATTCGCCATCTCTTCTGTTCGTAATGGAAAACGAAACATTGTCGAATTTTGCACGGGACACTCTTTCTGGTCGTAGCAAGAGAAAACGTCTGGAAATACTTTCTTGACCTTTTCTGCTTCTCTGTACATCCTTCCTGGTTTCCATTTAGTTGCACCTGGTACGTATTTGTAATGGGGATCAAATACACACAAAACGTTCCCTATCTCCTCACCACAAGAGACGAACGACGGTACGTCCGTTAGATGATACACAGAATTGAAACCAACACCATACTGGCCAGTTTTGTTGGGATCGTCTCCTTTGCTGCCTTCGCCGAGATTTTGTATTCCTACAATATCAGCCTCCGTAAATGGTCGGTTGTTGTACACACACAACGCAGGGCCTTGGAGCAATTTCCAGGAGTCTCCAAACACTCTTTCGTCAGAGTGTTGTCGAGGGTCGCTGATAAAGCATATCTCTGTTGCTTGTGCATCATCAGCATTCTGAAGAAGTTCTTTCAGTATCTCTTTCTGGCATGGATAGGCTGTAAGAATCCGCCTTAGACGATTTTCAAGTTGTTCGCTTTGTCCAAAAGGAATCCCAGTGGAGAGACGATTTAGAGTTTCCTCGCGACGGGTCTTGACACCAAGTCGGGCGCTCACTGGAAAAGGAATCATTTCATTTACAAGATGTATACCACTTTCGTGTGGTATCCAGTCGCAATCTCCCATACAGAGATCACCAACAGGTCTCATCACACCCAAGGAATCAGGAAGAAAGACTGTCTCTTGTTCTCCTTCATCTTTGACACCTTGTGTACTACGCATCTTTAAAATATGTCCCAGTTGAACAGCCATGTTAACTGCTACTTGAATACTCTTCTCATCGAGATTTTCCTCCCCAAACATGTGCTTTATTTGCTTCAAAGAAGCTATGAAATCGTCGGGATCGAAGGCAGCCTTCACACCAGCAGTTTTCAAGAAGCCTGCAAAACGCTTTACTAAATCCTGTGGAAGCTGGCGAAGATATGGAGAACAATCGTAATGCAACTCGAAAGCCACTTTCTCCGTTAAAAAAAATTCCCCCTCACAGAGAATAAACTTTTTCCCACTAAACAACTCTCCTACTTCCTTCTCTGTGATGCACTTGTTACAAAGAGCTTCTTCGAGATACCTGTACGCTGCCCAGCAAACTTCTTTTAAGCTTTCGATCTCAAAGGAGTCCAGATCCTGTGTGCTAACAGACGCGGCACTGTTAAGTTGCATTTTAACATGGTCTAATGTAACCTGTTTCCTGTCCAACTGTAGGAACTCTTGGATGATGGTTGGCAAGTGTAAATCTAGTACTGGCTCAGTGCAGCAGACTAGATTCTTTACTCTCTTCGGAAAGAGCTCTGTAGGAGACATGAATACTCTGCCATTATTAAATTGAAATTCATCTGCTTTCCAAGGAAGTGGGAAACTTTCAGGCCTCTGAAGCACCGGCAAAAATCTGGCGTGTAAAAATGTCTCCCGAAATTCGAAGGAAGTACGATTCTCATTACTATGCATCAAATTTCTTTCTAGATGATCGATTAGATCTTTTGCACGCTTTAACGCTGAATCACTACAATGACCACCTAATACACTGATACTCTGAGCCCTTTCTGTAAGCTGTGGCCACGGGAGATCATCTGCCAACATTCCGAGTTGCTCAAGCTTGGCAAGTCGTAAACCGTATAGGAAGGTATCTGTTGTTCCAAATGGAAACATTTCGTCCTCCGGGTAAAACAGAGAGGCAGCTAACTTAGTCGGGTTGATGAGTTGGGCAGGACACTTGAGTTTTCGACCTTTTGGTGAGGTTGGAATACAAGCGTATGTCTTGATTAGATCGTCAAGCTCTCCATCTTTGTCATCAAGTGCGTACAATACTAGGTGGTCTCGCAGATGTGGTGGAACTGAAGCAATGTTTGGGAAGAATAACTCACGGAAGAATCTACTCTTATCGTAGTTTTTCTCCTGGATTCTTGTTACGAGATCATAACTGACAAATGACTGGTAGACCTCAGCTGGAAGGTCAATGATTATTGTATCGTCTTTCTTGAAAAACTTCAAAGCTTCAAAAGACAGCTCTCCGATTTTAGGATCATACCGAAAGTTAGGCTCTAAAAATACCACATGATTGATGTTTACCCATTGACTCCCATTGGAAAAGAGAGAGTAGTCTTTACTTGCCAAACTTTGGTAGAACGAACGCGCAAGGGGTTCGCAGTTCTGCTCTACCTCACACGCTCTGGGCCATAGTGAATAAAACTGGTACTTGTCGGCAGCTAAAGTCTTGACGTCCTCCAGAAGGTCTAGATAAGCTTCACATACAGCGTCTTGCATGAGACAATTGTTCCACTCCACTCCAATGGAATCTTTATCGTCTGCTGTCTTCTCCTTCAAGCCTCGCCTGCTGGAAGCCACCGCAAACGCCCCATTCACATGAACCGGTAACCCAGTTTTAACTGGAAGTGGAAGGTAGCAGAAGAGTTTTCCTACAGGATGTTGTACATCTGCAGTGACTTGATCCACAACAGGTACTGGTAAGAGTTTTCCATAATCATCGAAAGTCAATCTGGCAGCTACTCCCGCTGATGGAAGTAGACTCATGTCATCCTTTCTAAACTGCACTGTGAGTCCTTTGCCCATAGAAGATGCAACCAGCCAGATCTGAGACTCATTTGGCATGTAGGCCTCAGCTTCAACAAACGGTTTTCCGCTCTCCGTGGTGGTGCTTTTAATGTTAATTGTAAGCGCAGAACTAAGAACGGCAGGCATGGAGCTATCAGCTTCTACTGCATTCTTTGCAACTACAGATGATGCTTGCAAAAAATTACTCTGCTGCAAAAGGTACTGCTCTTCCTTACAAAGCTTCTTGGCAGCATGGGAAAGTGAAATTGGAAATGACAATTCCCTAAGGATCCCTCTTCTACACAATGACTTGCTAACTTCAAACAGAAGCGAAGGTGGACAAAAAAGGGTCGAGTCTTTAGGCAGATGATAAAAGCTAACCCGGACCACATTTTGCGTGAAGAGAAGAAGGGTCTTAGCACCAGAGGCGAAAAGCTTTAAGAATTCTTTCATTTGTTCGTTGTCGTAATGAAGTCGCTTGATTTCACTTTTAATGGCTTGCTCTTTGGTACGTAATGGAAAACGGAATAGAGTCCCAGGATACGAGTAATCGTCTTTATTCAGGTGAAGATCGCAATCAAATATTCCATTGAACGGTTTAAATTGATTGCTGAGACTCCGAAGTCTCTTTGTGTTTTTGTTGAGATTTATCTTTATTCCAGGTTTGCTTTTATTTCTTATTGACTTTCCAAGATAGAATTTTTGCGGGTCAAAAATCACAAAGAAATTTCTGCTCAAAAACATCGGAACATCCGTCAGATTGTAGACTGCGTTGAAACCAAGTCCAAACTTTCCAATTTTCTCCGTTTCTTGTTCTTTTTTAGCACCGTTTAATTTTGTGATGTTTGTAAAATCCTCATCTCTAAATTCGGCATCGTTGTAGGCCCACAGAGCAGGACCCTGGCAATGTTTCATTTCTTCGTCAATCAGACAGTTAATGGCATCCTGGTTCGTTCGTTCGTCATATAGAAATCTCACCTCAGTGGCACCTGCATCGTCCGCGTTTTGAACAAGCTCTTTAGGTACTGCAAAGCCATCAGAGTAGTCCTCCAGAAGTCTACTAAGTCTACGGGTAAGTTTTTCTTCTTGTCCGAATTCCTCTCCAAAATCAAGCTCGTCTGGCTCCAACATTACATTCATCAACGTTCGAACGCCCAAAAGTTCAGCTGTGCTGTTTGGAATGTTTGGATGCAGGTAAAAATAATCCATCTCGTCATCTTCTTCTCCATCGTGCTTACTTCTTTCTAGCCACTCATGTTCGCAGTACATGCATCTCTCAACTGGTGCAAGCTTAACATACGCATCATCTTCCACATGTGTCGGAATGAGCACCTTTTCTTGAAGTTCGGGCGGCAACCGATCTCCAACATTTGGCTTAATGTCATTCAAAATGTCCACAGACAACTGCAGATCCTTCCGTACCTCTGCCGTAGAAGGCGGAGGGTAATTGTCGTACTTCTCTTTTATTAAGTGAAGTACCTCTAACAAAAATGTGTCATCGCACTTCTCTTGCAAGCCGAATTTTGCAAACAGCTCGTAGAATCTTGCCATCTCTGAGGGAAGGGAACAAATATATGGCGTCAGATTGATCTGAGGCTTCTGAGATATCAGGAATCTAGGGGAAGAAAATCCATCTCCGTTCCAAATCCACGGAAGGTTCTTGACATTCTCCAAAGCAGCAACTACTTCGTTATGATCTGCACGACTGAGAAAGGCGTAAATTTCCTGGGCAATGATAATATAACGCGGCTTGTCATGTGGACTGTAGCAACTTATTACATTCTGCAAGTGCTGCACGACGTCCAAAACAGCCGGGTCTGCGTTCCATGAAAAGAAGCGGGTGAACTGTCTACATGGCTCAGCTTTGACAAGTGCTTTTGTTGATCCGATAATGTTTGCTGCTTGTTTGTACTTGACATCAGAAGGCTTTAAGAAATAAGGTTCTGTGTGCGTTTCTCCCCAGAACGGAAGACTTTCGGGGTATTCATCGGGTTTTTGTCTGATAACTGAGACCCATTGAATACTTTTAAGATGCATCCCGAGCTCTCCTAATCCTGACGTTCCAGAGACGATCTCTTGAAGATTTGTTGGATTGCTAGTTAAGAATGACAAGATCGCTGATGACTTCGTTTCCGCTGCAGAAAGGTCAGTTATGTTATTCACTGCCTTTGCACTTTCGTACACTTTTTGCCCGGTGATTTCTCCCTTGCCTTTCATGCCAAGGTATTCTAAAACTACTAGAGCTGTAGGTTGAGTGTACTTTCCAACAGGGAACACATCTTCTTCCACGAAAATTCTTCTTAGGAAGTCGTCTCTGGGATCAAATACCTCCCTAGGTCTAACTCTGTCATTTTTAGTTGAGACGAAGGGCAGGTCTTCTAACTGATTCTGAAATCTCCCATCCTCTGCGGTGTAAACTTGATATCTATCTATCACGAATCCCATGAGTCTGTCAATTTCTTCAGTAGAGTAACGCTGACCTATTACATCCGGAAATATCACCTCAAGCAAAACCTCAGAACGTGTCAAGACCTTGATGTCCAACAAACCTGCCAATCTCTTTGCATCGTTCTCTCGAATGTCGATGAGATCTCTGAGGGTTTTCACTGGAAACACTTCGTCAGGTGCAGCACAAAGGGCATCATTTTTTGAAACAAAGGCTCCGGACAAAGTCTCAAACAACGGTATGCAGTTTAAGATTTTCTTGTCATCTGGACTAAGCGAAGAGGCTTTGGCAACAAACTTCCTAAAACATCGTTTACCATCGTCTGTCATGGTTTGGACGGCAGTGGGCTTGAAGAAGAGAAAAGCTGCTACAGCTTTTAAGACGCCTTGAACTGATGGCGGATGAACAAACTTTTCCGAAACGGCAGGGTGCAGGCCTAGGAACCCTGGATACCCTTGCATTATTGAAACACCAAGCTCTCTCAGAGCTCCGACGATAGCGTCGTCTAAAGAATCGCCATGAAGGCTTCTAACGACAACATGAGATAGCTGTTTAAGTCTCACGAGGGCAATCGGAACTTCCGACATATCTAATGGAAGTAGTGGCAGGCCTTGAAATCCGCAAAGCTCGTCTACGGAAGGGAAGTTCTTTCCCAGGTATGCCCACAAGTTTCCTAGCCAGTCATTAGACGGATGGTCTCCGACTCCAGGACACCACAAAATGTTTTGACCCTCTAACCATCCAGGTGGTAGTGACGTCGGGAGAAGTTGAGCAACGTCATCTTTGGTGAAATGCCGTAACTGAGTGCATCCTGTTCGAAAAGTAACGTGGCTCTTCAGCAAATCTTAGTTCGCTCTTATAAGTGTAAAACTTCAGTCATACTGCCTCGTATAAATGGAGCAGGTTACCATATAAAATCATTAAAGTTAGGAGAAAAATTAGTAAAATAATTGTGAATTGCATACATGATAGTAAAAAATGCTACTTAGAGATCTCAATTGTCTGGATTTCTTCCGTGGGATAATTTACGATGATCTTTAAAATCTGGCACTGTGCAATTCAAGGTTCTATACCTATTATAATTAAAGGAATTGATTATAGTTTTTTTCAGGTGTAGAGTACCAGCTTAATTCTTCGCATGGCTCTTTTCGTTTTTGTAACAACTACTTCCAAATAGCATACCTTCTTTTGCGACTTCATCTAGCATTCGTGACAATTCTTCGTCGATGCTCTCATCAAGGAATTTATATTGTGGACACGGTAAGAGTTCACGGGGATGTGCCAGTGAAGAAATGTAAACAACCTCTCCCGTACTGGAAAACGACATGAACTGCTCATTAGAAATCGGTAACAGCTCCAGTCCAAGTAGGTCAGAAAAGTAACCGTCTTTGAGGACAAATTTCAGCAGGAAAAGTTTTTCTAACCGAGTTAAGTTTGAGTAGCTAGAGGGGACATTCTTAAGGACTCTTCGCGTCAACGAAGGTGTTATTTCTGCACTCAACGTTGAGTGCAAGCAAATGGCTTTTAGGGCGTGTTCGGGTAAACAGGCGACGTTTTCATTCGCTGCGAGAAAAACGTTTACCAGCAGTTCCTTAGGATCGCTTTCTGCAAGTCTTTCAACGATAACGTCTGTCAATTTTAGCCATTTTCCTCCTTGAGCCGGAGTGTAGATGATGCTTTTGTCAAGAAGCAACTCAAATAGAGGCTTCTCCACTCTTTTCCACTTCTGGTCGACATAAGCTGTATTAGGCCATGCTCTATATTCAAAGGAGAAACACATTATGGAAAACTCTAAACTCTCTATAAACTGTTGAAGCATGAGGTTAGCAGATCTTTCATCAACAATAGAGTCGTATAAGAGACCGACTGCATGTCTCAATATATTTTACCTGTTTTCGTCAACTCATATTTTTGAGCTCTTTGCAACATACAGTCTTAGCAAAAAGAGATGATTATATTAAAGAGGCACACAAGTCAGCAATTTATTCTTACTTGTACACGGCTTCGCTTTGCACGTTGTAGTTCTGCTCGTCCCTGGCATCCAGCAGCAGGGAAGCATAAGCTTTAGGGATGGCCTCTTGCAGAAGACACTGGTTCCATAGCAATGACTTGTCAGTCAGGGGCTGGCCTTCCTTTTCAGCCAGATCTTCTTGTTCAGCTGTAGGCGTCTTAATGTAACGCCTGTTCTGACTCAAAGCAAAGAAGCCGTTGATGTGCACTGGCAATCCTGTCAAACTTGTCTTCTGTACTGGTAGTGGTAAAAAACAAAACACGTGGCCTTTCATGTCTGGCGTTTCTTTTCCAGGGCGTTCTGGCAACTCCATGGCGACACCTACCAGAGGCAGATAGCTGAGATCTTGATCTGAAGCCAAGGTTCTAAATTGTGACGAGATTTCTCCTCCACAAAAGTAGTTAGTAACTAGAAACGAATGTCGCTCTGACGCACTTGGCGTGCCTTTGGAGTAAGTAATTGCCTCAATTGTGATAGGATAAGTTACCCTAACAGCTGCTGGCAATAGTTCACCTGATGAGATCTTGCTTCGAAACTCATTCCTCTTTTCTCGCACTAACTTGAGGGTATTATCGGTGATTCGGACTTGAAAGGTTTTTCTGGCGTCACTGTCCGTTTCTTCTCGAACAAAGAGCTCTACGGATTCCAGATACTGAAGAAAGAGAAGGATCAAATGAGCATCTGCCTCAAAACTTTCAAATAACGTGTGCACCTTTTGGGTTGTGTATAACGTTTGCGATAGCTTAGATGGTTCTCTCCTTAAAGGGAAACGAAACAATGTCCCATTATAGGATCCCTGTTTGAAGGTGTCCTCTGTACAATCGAGTATCTCTTTGTATGGCTGAAACTGGTCAGGGATACTGTTTATGATGTCTCGGTCTTCTTTCAATCGCCACCTGTGCCCGGTTCGTTTGCCACTCTCGTCGCTGAAGTACTTTTCGTGCGGATCAATCACTCCGATCTGCGAACCACTTACGATACTTGGTAGATCTGAAAACCACCACAAATAATTTTGTCGCATTTCAACAATAAAATGTCTGAACACATCTTTACGATATCGGAGAAAAATTGTTGCTTTTCACAATACCAGGCAACCATAGCAGAGATAAAAAGGAAGCCATAAAGGCTATAAATGTACATGCAAGGATAGCATATGCATGATGTTACATTCAAGTATGACAGGTTTCCTCTTCGGCTAACACTTCGATTTGCCATTGATCAGCGAAAAAGAAAAAGCACTCGCCTGAAAAATCCCAAAACTTAAAGCGCCGCCAAAATTTACCACCTTCCGTCAAATGGCAAACTTCTCTGGTGAATTTGTTGTCTATAAGTATTCTTAGTATTCCAAATGAAAGTTATGAACTGGTAACTTTGGTTAACTTCTGTTCAAACTTAAGGAGTGATCGCCGACTCCCAAGCCAGAGTCTCACATGAAATAAACATAAAATATGTCAACAAATACTAAATGATATGAAAATACTCTAAATTAAAACTCGTTTAAAGGATTCGTTCAGAGTATTCATCTGTGAATATCTATGAATATTCATAGCTGAACACTCTGAAAAAAATTGCACCATTTCATGAATTACTCCTTGTTTTGTAATTCTGCTGTGACAAAAAGGTTTCCGAAATAAGTTCCCAGAAGAAATTAAATCAGTCATCTCTAACAGGAAAAGTTTGTTCTTGCAAAACTCACAAAGTCGTCAATCACCTAAACAGAAAAAGCTGCGGTAATTTTTTTTTCCAGACGGTTAATATAATGAAAAAACGTCTTGGAAACATTCACATTAGGGTCTGAGAACATAGCAATTCAAGAGACTCACCTGTCATATGAAAAACAGACTTAAAGCCAAGACCGAAACGGCCAACTTTCATTGGGTCTTTGACTTTAATACTATCACACAACATCCGTATGCCCTTCCAGTCATCTTTTGTAAACTGAGCGTCATTGTATGCATAAAGTGCTGGGCCCTGTTACATAAAGACGATCACATTCACCTTGTAAAACGAACAATTAATGAGTGGGTGTGATTTTCACAATGAAGAAGAAGTTTGTATTATCCACGCCAATTCGGTTGAGTCTAATCTATATGGGGCTTTTAACAGAAAATAAATCGTGGCTTGGTGCTGAAATGAGTACTTTCAAGTTATTTTTGACCGTAACAGTAAGAAGAAGTAAAATAGGTTTAAAGCTTGCACATCAAAAACAAAATTTACCTGAAATTGAGCAAGACTTTGGCGATGAAGTTTGGCTGTGCCATGGCTGCGTTTGTCGTGAAGGAATTTTACATGACTTGCATGTGCATCCTCTGCGTTTTGGATGAGCTCCTGATACAACAAAATACATTTCAAGATGTAAAATACACCAGAAAAATATTTACAGCAAGGGCACCTAAGTGAAAAGACCTTTTAACCCTTGCATGAATCATTGTTCCATATAAGCACAACATGCAAAATTATACAATCGAGGTGTTAATATAAAGAGCTATCTTCTTTAGCCAATTGTGATATTTGACTTGAGGTCTGGCACTCCCCGCTCGCTTAACCCTCACACAACACTAATTGAGAGGATGGATGTCTAAAAGTAACATTAACCCACCCCACCCCCGTCTACTTTTCAGAGAACTGGTTGTGGTAGCCCTCTTTTCTTCATACCTTCAATATCTGTCCATCATCTGGGTACTGATCTAGGATGGTTCTTAATTGCTGGATCAAAGATGGCCTAATCAAATCAAATCCATCGTCGTCATTGTTTGCTAATAAGAAAAATCATATCATCAGCAACTATCAAAAAAATTCATCCATAATTTTCATCAATTCAATAGTTAAAGAAAGAATTACAGATGTCTACTTCCGTGGGTCTAAGCATCTAACTACCTCTAGCATCTCCTACATAGCATCACCATCCTGCCTCGCATCTAATCACCACTCAGCATTTAAGAGTGCGTCTACGAGAGAAACCGGCAGTCGTACTACATGCCATCTCACCGGTTTCCATGAAACTTTGCCAGTTTAAAGGATTTACACCAAAACTCAAACAGACAAACTGGTTTCTGTTTCGGTTACTTCCGGGGGGAGATAGACCAATTCCCCGGTTTTTTTTGGTTTTCACCGAGGAAATAGCTTCAAAATAGATAAAATGTATGAAGCTCTCAATGCGATGGTATTTAACCGATTACTCTGACTGAGAGTTTGCATACATATTGTTACATCCTTAATGAATGTACGAGGCAAGTATCAGTCAAATTGATAGACGACTTGTTAATCAACAAAGGCAAATAAATGATTGTGTTTTTTGACTTTTCGATTCCTCCAAATATTTGATAACTTTGAAGTCAAACATCTCCCCTTGCCAGAAAGCTACAACACTTATTTTAATTCTCCTTTATGATCCATCATTTCATCACTAAAAAAAAAGACCAAAAGACTCATTGGGCACTGCCGTATTTTTGTTTTGGATGCCTTTTACAATCTGCGATTGTGAGAAGCTTCACTCAACTACACCTGTCACGCAATTCTGGCTTTAGGGGGTCACTCGAGCGAATAAAACTACATTTTATCGCTCGTTATACAAGATGATTGATCAAGAAAGCTAAAAAGTGTGAACAACTTTCGAGAGTTTTTGTAGGAATGGAAAATTTCACGTTTAGAGAGATGCCTCTAGGCGAAATGTTGATAGAAACTCATAGCGTTGCTGTCTTCTGTCGTTTATTACTTTGAAAATTTGTTGAAATCAGCAAATATGTCTTTTGTACGGCACAGAAAACATTTATTGGTCTATGATTTGATTGTTTATTATCATTATCACTCATTTTAGGATATTTAAAGTCTCATGCTACGTATTGCTTGACATACCGGCTCCTGAGTATGACAACTTTGGCTTCTACAGACGAAAAATTCTGCCCTCTCGCTTTAAAGGAAATATCAATAGCTACATAAATTTAAAAAAACGGTGCTACTATTCCGAAAACAAAACTAAAATAATGTTGTCGTTATCACTTACCGCCATCGAACATTTCCATGCTGAACTCCACCAAACTAACACATGTGGCGCGACCCGAGGACTTTTCGTAGGAATTATTCAAGCGCGTTGTTCATGCTGTCTACTAAATAACAATTTCAGAATATTCTGAAGATCTCTATGTGAAATTGATTGCTTTGATCGTAAAATACCTGCCATTTTTTTCAAGCATTCAAGAACTACATGTAAATCTACATCTCTCTCGATCAAGTGTTGCTGGTGTTGAATTGCGTAACTTAAAGAATGAGCCAGCAATATTTCGACCAGTAGGCTTCCTGTAACTTTCTCTTGAAGAAAAAAAAAACCCTCTCTCTCAAACAAAATAAGAGACGATCGTATGAGCTCAATCATTTGAACTTAAACCTCAAAACGTGTAACTTCATGTCAAGTAAGGCAAGTTTCATTATTCGCAGCTGTCAGGTAAGCTAATGACTAACAGTAACAGCATTACGACAGTAACAGATTGTTATAGAAAAGAGCTATATCCCAGTGTCGAATCCAGTGTGAGACTGGAATTCATTCTTCCCAAATAGGAAAGAAAACCCAAAAATCTTCTGTCTGTACTGAGTCCGAATAGAGTGCGAGACCTGAGGTAGTCCTATTACTCGATGTGCGTGTTCTGTGTTTGCCGAATAGAGAATGAGACTTTTAGTCATCCTTAATTGACGTGTGCGTGTTTCTGAGCGCGCCGAATAGAATGCAGCGTAGAGAATATTATACGCGCGTAGATATGGAATTTCTCTTCGAGTGTTTAACTCGATAGCTCACGAGTGAGCGCAGCGAACGAGTGAGATGTCGAGTTAAACACGAGAGGAGAAATTCTCTATTTACAAGCAACCATATATTTTTTTTTTTTATCATATAAACGCAATAGCCCTTTACTTACAGGAAAAGCCGACTTCATTAATGAATGTAAGTAAATGAATCGACAATGCCCAAATAACAATCGTGGAGTGCGTTGGCGCTAACTCTTAGGATGGAAAAATGCGTTGAATCACGATTACAAAAACAACAATGGTCGTAATTTTCAACTTACAAAATTCTTATTTATTGACTTTGTCCTTACCGACAGAAGAAGTCTTTCAGGTAAATGGCCAAAATCGGCCAGTGGCAAATCTTCCAGTTGTCGATTTTCATTCTCAGCCGCGAGAAATGCCACCATCAAAGCCGCTGAATGCGTAACTTTCGGGTTTTCTTTTTGTGTATTGGTTTTTTCACCTTCTAGAAAAGTTTGAACCTCATTGTCTGTCAGCGATACGGATTTTTCAGTGTTTTAGCCGCCACAACCCGAGAAAGGTCCGACAAACTACTTTGTATTGAGAATCGTGAAGGCTTTGCCCTTCATTCATCAACCTGACCGAGTTGCGCCAAAGAAGAGTGACGTGTCAGGAGCTAATTGGCTATATCAACACACGTGAAAAAATACGATATTTTTTCACGCGTGTTTTTACGGCTTTTCTCAGGGCCGGAAATCCCTGTATAACACCGCAGTTTATTTAATAAATATCATTATCACCTGACATGTGAGATTTCTGTGCGTGCTGAATAGAGTACCAGATTTGAATGCAATTCCCCTTAACATCTTAACATGTGCGTGTTTTGAGCGTGCCAAATAGAGTACGGACTCGAGGCAATTTTACTTGACATATGCGTTTCTGTGTGTGTCGAATTGAGTGCAAGACTTGAGGTAATCTTCCTTGACTTGTGCGTTTTTGTGCATGCGGAATAAAGTACGAGTGTTACAGTCAATCTCACTCAACATCTGCGTTTTGTGTGTGCCAAATAGGGTGCGAACGTTGCAGTCAAACTCACTCGGCATGTGAGTTTTCCATACGTGCCGGATAGAGTAAGAGACTTGAAGACAACGTTCTTCTGCATGTGCGTTTTGTGTGCGTGCCTAATGAAGCACGAAATTTGTGGTCAATCTCACTTCACATGTGCGTTTTATGCGTGCCGAATAGAGTACGAGTGTTAAAGTCAATCTCACTTGAAATGCGCCTTTTCTGTGCGGGCCGAGTAGGGTGCGAGGCTTGAGCAGTCTTGCTTGTAAATGCATTTCCGTGCGTATGAATAGAGTGCGAGACTTACATTCAATCTTACTTGACATATATAGGATTCTGTGCGTGCCGAATAGTGTGCGAGACTCTTGAAGTCAATCTTACTTAACATTTGTGTTTTCTGTGCGTGCTGAAAAGAGTAGAGACTTGATCAATCATAGATGACATACGCTTTTTCTGAGCGTGCCGAATAGAGTGCGAGACTTGAAATCAATCTTGCTTGACCACAGGCAGCCCATGCTGCAGCTGTGTGACTAAACTTTCACAGTGCAACTCACTTGACATGTGCATTTTCTCTGCGTGCCAAGTAAAGTGCGAAACTTGAGGCAATCTTACTTAGCATGAGTGTTCCCTGAGTGTGCCGAGTAGAATGCGAGACTTGAAGTCAATCTTGCTTGACATGTACGTTTTCTGTGCGTGCTGAATAGAGTGTGAGATCGGCAGTCAGCTCTACTGACTGGAAGGTGCGGTGCACAAACACCGAAACCAACTCTTTTGGAAGAGGAACTCATAATAATCCCAGATGTAGACTCTTTAGAAAGGGTTCTATGTTACTTGGAATACAAAACAAAGGTATGGTGTTGATTGCAAATAGGACCCGAACTTAGTGTTCATTACGTATTGTTAACTTGCGAAGAATTTAGGGTGATCACCTTTCATTACGTAACGTTCGGTAACTAGCTGTAGAAATGTATTAATTTGTCCATGTTTCTTAGGTTTCCTCTTCGTGGAACGAGAAAGCTGTGACTATGATATAGTTGTGGGAAAAGCGCTACGTTAGGACAAGGTGTTAAAACCGTTTACTTCGAAAAAATAGAATGAACTACGTCCAAAATTGAAACATTCATCTGTGGCAGTTAAAAAAGTGAGAGGTTGATTCGAATATCAAATCAAATGAAGAGATTTGTGGAGGCAACTCTTCGAATAATAAGATATGATGACGCCGCTTGCCTGGCGATGGTACTTCTGAAGATATGGTCTCGGTGATACTCGCAAGAAAGCAGGAAATTAAAATTAGGAGATCATTTAGGAGCTTTCACTCTTCTGGCAACTTGATAGTTCCTCGCTCGTTTTGACGAAAAATACACGAAGAGGATCGCCCGAAAATAACTGACAGGATTCTCTTCATATCTAAACAACTCAAGTCAGTCCAAGAAAAGGAACGATTGCGTTGAAAAGTCTTTAGAATCTCGATATCATGCGGTATTAAACCAAACGAAATCGTTGGCAGAGTTCTTTAGTAATTTCTTTATCGGCTGTCACATTCTTCACCCATTCAAACATTCGTCGACTTTCCAGAATATTATACTACGTAAGCATTTCCTAATATCTGTATTATCTCTGCATTGAAAGCTTAATTTGATTTCATTAAAAAGCCATTTGTTATAATAAATAACATTTTCATTGTAGAACCTTGTTGTTGTCCCTGTTCTGTTGGAAAAATTGTTGCTATCAAAATTTAAATAAAGCTACTTTAGCAATAGTTAAACAGGGTAAGAATTAAGAGACCCGCAGTAGGCGTCTTGTGGGCTGTTTTGACTTTTTGTGAAATGAGTAATCTAAAGATTAGACTAAAATCCAGCGCCAAATAAAGTATGTCACCGTAAGGACAACGTCTACAACGAGAGCAATTCGACGAATCCATTCTGAAAGCCGTGTCCTGCGTGAAAAATACTGAGAAACTACATGGCTTCATTGCATAATCAGTCCTAACCAATGCGTCATGCTTTTTTCGGCAGGGTTTTACAGGTTACCTCGCCGCATCGTCGGCAATTATCGTCGATAATTATCGTCGGCCAAGCTAAGTGACCTCGCCCTCGGGTGAAAAAATTTTCCAAATGTAATAATAAATGTAGCAAGCGTGAGGAAACGCACATTTTTCATTGCTGTGATCAAAGTGCAATGATGAAACTTAATTAATATCAAACCATTGATTATGACAGTGTGAACCTGATTTTTCTGTCGAGTTCGACGTGACTTCACATCAAAGGCGAGTTTTTTTTTTCTCCAGTTTTTGACGGAACAAACTAGTGAGCATCACTGCACGAACTGAGAAAGTAAAAACTTGTATTTATCTCCCTCGTGTTCCGTCTGACAGTAGTAGACTTCATCAACTGAAGCAAGTGGGAAGAATTCGCCAGGTGCGCCAACAGTGTTGTACATGCGTGACATTTTTCGGACGTTACATGTACGAGTACACGATCCTTTTTAAGGTCACAGATTTAGTGCAAATATTTGACCTATCAACACATTAGTAACTCTTCCATGTGACGGCTCTAGTTTACAAAGATCTTAGAACGCTTCATTGCATGGATTTGCCTTCCACGGCTAGAGGGCTAGAAGCAAATTTTCTTGGCGCAATTGCTTTTGATTTCTCAATTTATGGTGTCGCAAACACTGTTTTTGGAAGTGACGAAACATAAAACTCATCGGGACCTAGTTTCGTGTTCTAATGGCAATAAATGGAAAATAAGAACACATTCGCACGAGAAATAAAGTTGTGAATAACAGGGGTTCCTTGAAGCAATTAGTAACAGAAAGGGTTTTAAGTCTGGTCAATATTGACTTTTCATATCCTACTCGCAAATCTATGGGAACCCGCCGAGGGAATCAAAAACACATACATGTAAGATAATGCAAGAAAGAAAATAAAAACGCCAGTAAAGAAAAGGAGAAAACATAGGAATCCGTGTTGCTTGCCCTTTTGCAGCGTTTAGAAATCTTTTGAGCCAAACCTGCACACCTAAACCCCACACCACGCAATGAAACTCGAAGGAATGCTGTGTACCAACTGGCTCGCGCGTGCTCGCAGAAAAGGCCATGCTTTAAGTCACGCAATTCAACACCGCAACACTCGATCGAGAGAGATGTAGATTTACCTGTAGTTATAGAATGCTTGAAAATTGCAGATATTTTACGATCAAAGCAAGCAAATACACATAGAGATCTACAGAATATTCTGAAATTGTTATCTAGCAGACAGCATGAACAACGCCCATGAATATACTATCAAAAAGTTTTCGGGTCACGCCACAGATTTATTTTGGCGGGGTTCTGCATTGAAATGTTTGATGGCGGTAAGTGACAACGACAACACTATTTTAGTTTTATTTTCGGAATCATAGCACAGTTTTGAATTTTATAGAGCTATTGATATTTCTTTTCAAGGGAGAGGGCAGAATTTCTCGTCTGTTAAAGCCGAAGTTGTCGCACACGGGAGCTTGTTTGTTAACCAACACGCAGCATGTGACGTTAAAATCTCCTAAAATAGCGATAATGATAATAAACAATCAAATTACAGACTAATGAATGTTTTGAGCCGTACAAAAGACATATTTGTTGATTTTAGCAAATCTCCAAAGTAATAAAGGACAGATGAAAGAAACAATACGATTTTCCCATGAACATTTCGCATACTTGCACCTCTCTAAACGTGAAATTTTCCATTCCTACATAAACTCTCGAAAGTTGTTCGCATTTTTAGCTTCCTTGAGCAATCATCTTGAATAAAGAGTTATAACATGTAGGTTTTTTTGCTCAAGTAACCGCCTAGAGCCAGAATTGCGTTTCATATAGATTAATCTGATTACTGTAAATTACAATGAACATCTCCACTACTCAACATGAATTGTGACATAATGCGGAGAGTGTCTAAACACTGAAGGTTTAAGCTGCTATCTCTTGAGACCTGAGCATCGGTGCAATACAAATCCACATGCTAACTGTCTCGTAAAAATTTAACTATCTTGAAGGTAGCTGAATACAAGGCATCAAGTTAAATATCGTTACGTTACCTGGCTCGATAGATCCCTCAGAAATAGCCTTTGTGATGGTAGCTTGCAAGGCACTTTGAATTTCGCGCTTGTCCTCCGCTCCTTTAATAATTAAAATTAAAGAAATGAAAAAACAAATCAAACGAAAAGTAGTCAAAACAATTTTTTTTTGGTTGGATTCAATTCCGGGTCTAATTCTTCACCCTTCTTAATTTTCTTATTCACCCAAAAGTTCACTACACTCGTTAATTGCTACATCTGATCAAAGACCCTCAAGACCCTTGGTTGGCTCTAGATGATGAAAAATACATAACTGAGCTTAATTATTTGCGATTCGTCGTCCACCTTTCCTTTTTGGTGAAGTGTACCTTATTGTGACGAATCAATAAAAATTGTAAAAACACTTAGACTTCAATGTTGGCAAACTCGCAATAACCACCTGAGCTCGCCTCTAACAGCTTTTTCCCTTTATCATACTGATCTTCGGAAATAAAGGTCTTCAACTTCAGCTCAGTAAGACCAAGTTTCTCCAAAACCTGTGGCGTTATCAGCATTTCCTGGGCAACGGAATTAAGATGACCACTGCAATAATCTTCC